ATCTCATTCCTCCCTCCTCCGCGTCCGTCTCTCTCTCTCTCTCTCTCGTTATCGTCGTCCTCTCTCTCTCTCTCTCTCTCTCTCTCTCTCTCTCTCTCTCTCTCACTCTCTCTCTCTCTCTCTCTCTCTCTCTCTCTCTCTCTCTCTCTCTCTCTCTCTCTCTCTCTCTCTCTCTCTCTCTCTCTCTCTCTCTCTCTCTCTCTCTCTCCCTCTCTCACTATCTCCCTGTCTCTCCCCCTCTCTCTCCCTCTCTCTCTGCCCGCCCTTTCCTTCCCTATCCGCCCCGTCTTCCTCATCTTCGCCCCGCCCCCCTCCTTCCGCCGCCGTTTCGGCCCCGGGGGTCCGGCTCTGACGGCCGCCCTCCCTGCAACGCGGGGGCAGCGAGTGATGGCCGCGGCCAGCAGCAGCAGCAGCAGCCCATTGGGCCCCGCAGGAGCGGGGCCTCGGGGCCGACTGTCGGCAGTGTATACAGCGAAGTGTGGGAAGGTTTGGCGACCTGTGGGTGGTCAGGAACAACCCTGGAAGGGTCCTTGGGCCCTTGTGCCCGAGGGCGCCCCCGCAGCAGCGGGGGCTGCGCCGCCTGGCGTTTCAAGCTCAGCAGCGGCGGCGCGATCAGAAGTTTCTACGATGCGCACCCGCCCAGGCGACTCGGTGGTGGATCCGAGCGATGACGAGGGGCCTCAGGAAAAGCGGCGCGATCAGCCGGCCTTTGGGGGCTGCGCGCCGCCCGACGACGTCGAGCGGCGCAGGTGCGTTCTTCGCGACACCGTCCCGCTCCAGCTCTTCTGCGAGCGTAGAGCGGCTGAAGTGAACAGGCAGCGGAACGACAACGTGGGCAACCTTTCCGTCTTGTTCGGGAACTGGGGCCCCATGCCGAGCGAGACCAACAACGCGGACCAGCGGCGGAGACTTGAGTTGCAGCTGCGGCATTGCCCTGCTCTCGTGGCGTGCTTTGCGGAATGTGAGGAGCAGATGGAGGCGATCCTACAGCGGCCAGGGAAACCGCCGCCGCTGCAGGCGGACGCCCCCGCAGCAGCGGGGGCGTCAGCAGCGGAGGGCCAAAGCAGCAGCAGCGGTGGGCCTTTTGTCGCCCCCGCAGCAGCGATGGCGACAGCAAGAGGAAGTCGTGCTGTGAGTGTTGGCGATTGCCAACAGCTCCAGAATCGACCAGAGTACGAATACTTGACCCTGCGCGGGCGTGAGGACAAGTCCTTGTGCATCGCTGCGCGCGCAAATCTGTGCCACGGAATGCGGCTGCTCCACTGGGAAAGGAGCGTCGACGGCCACTACAAAACTGAAAAAAGGGAACAAGAGGGAAGCGTTCTCGAGGATCGTGGTGGTTGAGGTCTACTCCGACCAAACCTACGCCCACTTGGGCTCGGAAGTGCGGGTGTGCGCGGTGCACCTCCACCGCGACACGGCGAAAGCTTCCAAAGGCTTTAAGGAGGCTCACAAGACGTGGTGGTCGAGGCTGGCGGCCATCTTGTAGGAGAACAAGGTTGACATCCTTTGTGGGGATTTCAACATGGCGCTCACACAGACGCTTCCGAGTCTTCGGGGTCTAGGCTTGCGATTGGAGACGGCAGCAGCGTACTTCTGGCGCGGATTGGACGGCACTCCGTGCTTGGACAGCTGCGGCATCTTCGTTCTCAGCAGGCCTGGCGAGTACACCCTGTGCTGGCCGCTGAGCGCCGTGCACGACAGAGACGAGACGGGGTTGCTCTTCGCACGCAAGTCGGTGATCGGTGAGATCGGGTACCGTAACAGAAGCAAGACAGAGGCCCCCGCAGCAGCGGGGGCCTCCACCAGCCCATCATCGGAGCCGACGTACTGGCACCACTGCCAGGAAGGTGGCCCTGGGATGCCTTACGATCGCTACTACCCGAAAAAAGACGCCCGCGAGCACCTCCAGGATTTACTGACTCAGTCAGAGGAATGCCAACGCAAGATCCAAGAGAAGGAGCGTGAGAAACAGAGGCGCGCCGAGGCGAAGCGTAGAGGGGGCCACCGCTTCTCTAATGTTCGCGAGGTGACCCTCTTCCGCGCGTTGCAGAATACGTTCCCGCCGGAGACCGTGGAGGTGGAGGGGCGCTGGCACGGCGGCGCCCACTACCCTCTCCTGTTCCAAATGCGCATGGCCAGCTCGCGTTCGCAGGGAAGGAAGCACGAGAGAAACAAAGAGAAGAAGGACAGGCGCGCCCAGAAACAGCAAGCAGCTGCGCTCCAGGGCGCCGCAGCAGCGGCGCCCGAGCAGCACGGGCCCGAGCGCCAGGCGCCAGAGCAGTACCGCGAGAGGGACGAGCAAGACGAGCGCGCCCAACAGGCGTGGCGCCCACCAAGATGGGCAGACGAAAACGCGGGCGACGACCGCGACTGGCCCGCGGCTGGCGATGGAAGGTCGCGGCGGGGGGTTGAGAGGGGGAGGGAGGGAGAGGGGGGGCGGGGCACGGGGAGGGCAGGTGGGAGGAGAGGGAATGAGAAATTGGCTGAGCAGGACGAGGGATGACATAAGGAAATGAGTGTCGGGAAGGGGCCGGAGTTGACAGGAAGGGGATAATTATAGAAATAGTTACTTGTCACCCCCAGGGTGGCAACCGACCCCGCAGTGGCCATCTCCAGGGCCTGCGCCGCTGGGGCAGCGAGGGCAAGGGTTGCAAGAGCAGCAGCCGCGGGAGGCGCCGCGGCATCAGCCGCCAGGGCCCCCGCAGCAGCGGGGGCCACAGACGCCATGGCAGCACCCGACAGGCGGGGGGTGGCGCAGGGATGAGTGGCGCGGCAAATCGTGGGACTGGTGGCGCACCAGGGAGGGCGAGGAGCGCGAGTGGCAACAGCCGAGCGGCGAGGCTTCCTCGGTGCAGGACCGCAGGGTCGACTCCGCCTGGCGCGACATGCAAGTTGCGTTCGGCAGCGACCCGCGCCCCAGTGACTGGTGCAGCAGCCACAGTGGGTGGAGTAGCGGCCAGGGGCACTGGGAGGCCACGAATACGACGCACTGGAGGTGGGTCGAACACCCCCCCGAGACCAATCCCTGGGAAGAACTTAATTAGCTGAACCATCGCACAGGGGCCGCCCCTCCGCAGCAGCGGAGGGAGGCCTCATCGGCCGAACGTCGACCCTCCGCAGCAGCGGGGGCCTTGCCAATGCATCGTGAGCGGCGGCGAGTCGCGCGCGCCGTCGTGCTCGGCGGCCGCTGCCCGAGCGGAGAAGGAAAAAGAATCGGTGCTTTCGTCGGTGCTGTCGTTGCCTCCTCTCCTTCATCGTTTTCTTCTCCCCCCCCCTCCAATCCCCCATCCCGCTATCGCATTTTATCGTTTCCAATCGTATCGGGAGCTCCCGTGGCAGAAGAGCACCCAGAACGAGGTCCTCCGTGACAGAGGGGGGGGGGGGCATCTTAGGGCCCCTCTGCGACAGAGGGGGGGGGCAAAAGAACAAATGATCACTTCAATGCGGCTTCTGGATTATCGGGGGGCAGACGGGGATTGAAGAGCCCCGTGCAGCGGAAGATTGGGGAAGGTTCCACAGCCAAATCAACGAGCCGGCGGGGCACCGCATAAAGGAACGGTCTGCGGACGGTGTATGCTGGTTTCTGGATGGCAAAACGTGCGGGGCCGCGCGGGGGAAGCGACAGGGAAAGAGCGAGCGAGGGAGAGGGAAGCAAAGGGAGAAAACAAGGGGAGGAGGAGGGGGGGGAGGAGGGAGGAGGAGGAGGAAAAGGCGGAGGTGGAGGAGCTCCCGACGGCTCCTGGCGCCGAGGGTCCCTGGTGCTGCGAACTTCCTCTGGCGGCTGGGTCCTGGGGGAAAGGTCCCAGCAAAAAGTAGTCGGACCCTTGCATCCGACCGTCCAGTTTTTTTGTGTTTTTTTTTTTTTTTTTTTTTTTTTTTCCAGGCCCGTCCCCCGCAAAAATCTGGACGGTCGGATTCAGGGGTCGGATTTTTTGTTGCTGGGACCTTTCCCCCATGGAGGAGGGCGAGGTGGTGGAATATAAAGAGGGGCGGAAGAGTAAGGAGGATTGCGAAGGTGAGGAACGCATTGCTCGCAGAACTAAGTGTCAACGAGACTCCGCAACTCGTTTTGTGAGTAATGCTGCGCAGCGAAAGGTTACTCGCAAAACTATGTGTGGAGCCTCGTTGACATTTAGTTTTGCGAGTAACCCCTCGTGGCGGAGAGAAGCCCAAAACCCCGCAGAAGAAACGCCGCGCGCGAGACCACGCCACATCCATATGAAAAGCCTCGAGAACGCAGGCCCCCGTTAGTACCCCGGAACCGGCCGGGGGACCCCCCCCTTGTGCCCCAGGGGCTGTGGACAGCGACCGGCCCCACTTTGGCGGGGCCGACTTAGGCGTGGTCTCGCTCTGGGCGGCGTTTGTTGTGCCAGGGGAAGGAACATGAACTTTCCCATGCCTTTCCAGAGCGCACGTGACGTGGGTCTTCCCTAACAGGGTCAGCTCATCCCCTCTGATTCCGTCTGGCTGGTCTACTTTTGGTTGCCGTATCGAGCCGACCCCGCTCTCCTCCCTCCGCTGACCTAGGGTTGGGATCTACTTCGTGTCTGGCTTGATTTCGCGACGCGACCCTGGCTGACCTGGGTCAGCCGGTCCCTTGCCCCAAATTTTGGCGTGTGTTCGCATTGAGCGCTTGTTTCTGGCAAGGGATTGGCCATGTCATGTGGGTCCAACCGTCGTCGCCACGGCATGGGATTCCAGGCGCATGACTTGGTAGTCCGAGTTCTGGCCGTCGCTGTACAGACTGCACACATGGCTCCATACGCCACATATATGGGTCCACGCACATGGGGTTCCTCACATTGCGTTCCACAATCGGGACTCCCTGACATAGTAGAGTTCCACATGCAAGCGTTCTGCATCCACATGTCTGTGTGTGCAGCCCCACGGCCCCACCTGCAGGTCCGCTCCGTGCTTGCGATAGCGGGTAAACCGAGACATCTCCGGTTCCTGCTTGCGCAATTCCGATCTTCCCTCCGCTCCCACCCGTGCGACAGTGACCGACTTCGCCCCGCTCTTCCTCCGCTTCTGTTCGGCTCCGACGACATTCTGCCCGCGAGCGCCAGTGACCTGGCAGCTCGAGACATCCCGATCCACTTCTACCGCAGGCAACGGCTCCGGAGGGCTGTCGGCGACATCGCTGCGGACACGATCTTCCCCCCTGCCCTCTCCAGGCCCGTCTCCATTGCTGCCGCCGGCCAGGCCAAGAAGGGGCAGTTCCAGGGCGAGTATTCGATCACCTCCTGGAATTCGCAGGCCCTCTTCTGCTTGGACCCCGTTCGCCACGAGCAGAAAGCGGCGTATGTCCACAAATTGTCGGGGGAGGCCGACATCATCCTCCCGCAGGAGACGCATGGGACAGAGGTGGGCAATGCAGCTTGGAGGGCCCCGGCTGGAACGACCGCCTGGTGGTCTCCAGGGCCCACCCCGGGGCGCGCTGGAGTGCGGGTCGTCGTCAGAGACACGTTCCTGCAGCAGTTCAGTGCGGAGCCTAAATGGGTTCATATCTGGAGGGGTCGCGCCGCGAAGCCATGCCTCAGAGGCCCTCGCGGGTCCTTGGACATCATCGCTACTTACTTCCAGACCGGCTCGAACAACGCCCTTACCGAGCACGACCTCCACGGCGTCCCGAACAGCATGCGGAGCAGCGTGGTCTCCTTCCCCCACCTCCGCTCCCTCCTCCGGTCCCGGATCGCCGAGAACGTGTCGTCGCGCCTCGACTGCTTGTCGCTGCTCGGCGGCGACTTCAACTACGTGGCGGACGACCGGGACCGCGTCGCAGTTGCGTCTGCGCTTCTTACTGGACGGCGCGATGGGAGTGAGGAGACATTTTCAGCGCGTGCTGGGTGTTCGATGTGGTCTCGTGGAGCTGTTTCAGTGCGACCACGCGCGCCTCGGCTTCATCCCGCGCCCGGTTGGACAGGCTGTACAGCAACCGCCACGTCTCGGAGCAGTTTGACCGCCACTTCCAAATATCTCCGTTGGAGTGGAAGCATGACTTATCCCACCATCGGGCCATCTTCGCGGCGCGTCGTCTTCCACAGCATGCCGACGCTGGGGGCCGTCCTTTACCAACTCGTGCCCTTCAACATCATGATTTTCCACGTCGTCTCATTCTGGAGTACGGCGAATCTCTTCAGCAACATCCAGATAGTAATCCCATGGACAAGCTCCGCCTGTTCAAAGAGGCCATGCGGAAAGTTGCGCTGCGGCTAGACGCCGCCATGGGCAAAGCTCCGCCGGCCATCGACTTCGAGGATCGGCTGGGCGTCGCGCTGCGGCTCATCCGAGCCATGGAGGGGGGCCGGATTCATGAAATTTCACGCTGCCTCGAACGATGCCCGGGGCTAGCAGACCACGCGGTGAACCCGTGCGCCGTCGACGGCAACATTTACCGCAAGTTGGAAGGCCTACGGAAGCACGCCTCCGACTTGGCCCGCGAGCATGCCTTGGACGAGCTCGGCAAGTCCCACTCCGACCTCGTGGGGGGCGACGAGTTCAAGGCGGCCCGCGCTCGGCAGCGCAATACTCGGTTACTTCATCGGCTTGCCCCTGGGCGTTCGGGCAGCGCGGGGGCCGTCCAGAATCCGAGCGGGGACGTGGTGGTTGAGCCCGCCGCGATGGCTGGCACCTTGCGCGCGCACTGGGCTAAAGTCTTCGAGAAGGTTGGCATCTACGCTGGACTGCTCGACGCTTGGCTCGAGGAGGACAGCGACGCCCGCCCGCTCGACCAAGCCCTGCCCCCCCGGATGCAGTTGAAGAAGGCGCACTTCGTGAAGGCCATTCTGACTTCCAACGACTCTGCCCCGGGCCCCGACGGCATTCCTTTCATTGCTTGGAGACGGTGCGCCAAGTTCTCGGCCAGCATTATGTTGGGCGTCGCCCGCTTCCTCGGCGAGGTAGGCCCAGAGGGCGTGGACGCGAAGCTGACCGAATAATTCAACCACAGCTTGTTGTTCTTTCTCCCTAAGAAGCCTTCCGGCACGGCGTCCAACGGCGAGGGCTTCTACGAGCCCCCCAACGTCCGTCCGCTTAACGTGACCAACGCGGACAACAGGCTGATCGCAAACGCGGTGCGCATTCTCATTGAGCCCATCGTCGGCCCGAGAATCACGTCCACGCAGCGGGGCTTTGTGGGGGGGCGTTCGATGCTTGCCAACGTGGTCGACGTCGACGAGGCCATGGTTGAGGCTGCTTGCGTTTCCGACGAGGCGGCGGCGTTGTTCTTCGACTTCGCCGCTGCCTTCCCGTCGGTGGAGCACGAGTTCCTGTTCAAGATTTTCTCTCGGCTTGGTGGGCCCACCTGGCTGCTGAATGTGATCTTGTTCTTCTATTCCAACAACGTGTGCACCGTCGTTCTTGCGGGGTCACGACATGCTGGCTTTGCGCTCTCCCGGGGGGTCCGCCAAGGCTGCCCGCTATCACCATTGTTATTTGCAGTGGCATCTGACATACTTCTCCGCCGCATTCCTCGCCACGTGCCCGACGTCGGTCTTCGAGCTTACGCAGACGACGCAGCGCTGGTTCATCGGCAGATATGGGAGCACCTTCCCACCATCGAGCAGATCTTCTCGGAGTTCGCAGAGGTGGCGGGTCTCCGGCTCAATATCACCGAGACCGTGCTCGTTCCGCTTTTTGGACTCGATCTCTCGCTGGCGCGCAGCAGATTGGCTGCCGTGGCCCCCAACTGGGCCGGGCTAGAGGTCAACAGCTATGCCAAGTACTTGGGCTTTGTCATAGGGCCAGGACGAGGGTCTAGGACATGGGACGGAGCGTTGACCAAGTTTCTGGAGAGGGCGAAGCTCTGGGGAAAACTCGGGGTGGGTTCGTTGCTGTCGCTTGATGCGTATCGAGTGTTTATTGCTTCCGTGGTCATGTTCTGCGCGCAATTGGATATTTTGCCAGAGAGGTTCGCCGCTTGCGAGAAGGCCGCGGCGCAGGCTCTGTTTCCAGGCCCTTGGGGTTGGATGCCGCCGGAGATGGCCAAATCCCTACAGATCTCTGCGTTCCCCAAAGAGCTGATGGACGTGGCGGCAGCGGCACGCGCAGCGCGCGCCCGCGTCGCCGTGCACGAGGACTCCCGGAACGGTGGGCTTGCGGTGAGCAGGCGTGCGCGCGCTCTTCGACTCGTTTTGGCCCAGGCGGATAACGCTCCGAGGGTCCTCAGCTGGGGCCCGTGGGCGACAGACTGCTTCATCCTCAACCTCGATGCTGCGCTGGACGAGGCCCGGGCGGTTTTCGGCGACAATCCCAGCATTTTGGACGTATCCCACCCGCGGCACAACCGGGTTGGCTGGCAGGCGGCGGTCGCCCGCCGATTTCGTGCTCCTCACGAACTGGATGCTCGGCGGTATCTTCGTAGATGCCTGGATCACTGGGTCGTTCCTGTCCTGCCGGGGCGGCGAATTGATCGGTGGCTGCGACTGGCCACCAACATGTCGGAGCTGGTCCCGCCCACGGTCCTCGCTGCGCGGACCCGCACGGCACTCAACGGGTGGACGACGTCCTCGCGTTTTCAAAGCCGCGGAGCTTGTTGCTTGGGCTGTGGCGGCGAGGACAGCATCAGGCACTATGCTCATTGCGCCGCCTACCACGTTCTCTGCCGGAAGCACCTTGGCTTACGTCGCCCTGCCGCTGGCTTGGAGATCGCGGAGTTCATCGGTCTCGAGCCTGGCGTGGCTGAATACAACGGCAGCCTGACGAACGAGGAGTGCCAGGCTCTGAGGGCAGCGTCGGTGTATGCCGCTTCCCGCGTGCATGGCGCTGTCCGCCACGGCCTTTCGAGCAGCGCCGGGTCCGAGGCCTTCGCCGGTTACGTCCGCGAAGCGGTCCGCGGCCACGGCAGGTTGGCAGGGCTCGTCCAGCGCGCGCACAAGCGCGTGCGCCGGCAGTGGATCATTCCCCTTCCCTCTCTGTTCTGTCGCCGTCTTTCCCTCCCTCCCTCCTTCCCTGTGGCCTCTTTATTTCCCGCGGCGGCCGTTCAGGTCGCCTCCAGGTCATTCTGTCTGTTCGTAGCTTGCCTCTCTGTCTCTCCCGGCTCTCGCCGGTCAACCATACGGGCTGCATTGGGGATTGCAGTCTCTTTAGTTGTTGCCGTTCCGGGCTGCCCGCCCGCTTCGAGATGATACGAATATGGGCCCTTTTTTGTATCATTTTCCTCTCCCTCTCCTTCTTCTTCTTCTGCTTCCTTCTGCCTCCCATCCTCCTCTCCTCCAGGGATCTGCTTGCTTTTGTGTGCTACGGGGGGGCAGGATTTGTCCGCCCCGGCCGGCGCCAACGGCAGGTCATTTTTGGGCGTCCCGGCCTATCTTCGACTTGAGGCTTTTTCCGTCTCCCCGGAGTCGAAACTGTGTAGGTTTGTCCGCCTGCTGACCTAAGGGCCGACTTGCTATAATTTCCCTCGGGCGCGCGCCGAGGAAATGTTACTTAAGACCGGTTTTTTCCTGGACGTCCGTTTCTGCGAGGTTCTGGCGGGAAACTGCTTTAACAGTTTTAACGCCGGCCAGGCCTTCATCCAGAGGTGACTTCACGAGGGACCATCGGTTCTGTCCGCTTCGTCCCCTCTGCTTTCCTCCTCCTTCTCCCAGAAATTGCGCTGAGGAAAAACAAAATCCACATGCAAGCGTTCTGCACACACGGCTGCACACATCAGGTTCCGTACATGTAGTTCCACACAGTTATCTCGTTTTCGAATGTTTCTCTAGACAAGTCACCCAATATCTTTCGCACGCTTCAATTTTAACACATTGGGGCTCCCACATGTAATGTTTCACACGTTGGGCCCCGCACGCGTAGGATTCAACATGCCTCGGGTTTCACACGTCGGGTTCCACATAGTGTCCGTTCCTATCGTATTTTTGTGGGTTCAGTTTTCTGCGATTCGGGTCCAGGGTCAATGCTGGGGTCAGGGGGAGGGCTACGGGCGAGCGGGCGCGCGCGGGCGAGCATCCAAGCGGGGTGGGGGCCAAACCCGCCCTTCCCTTCTAGGGAGGGGGCGGGAGGGGGATGACCATCGAGCAGCTATACGCGCGAAGCAGAAACATGCACGGGGAGTGGACGCCCGAACGATGGCACGACCCGCCCTCCTCTTCTGAGGGAGGGGGCTGTGGGGCTGGGGGCTGACCCCCGCCCCCTCGGACAGTCCGGGACGACTCGCCCAGGGAGGGCGGGGGCTGCCGAGGGCGGCGGCGCACCGGCGGCGCGCCCTCTCCCGATCTCCCGGAGGCCTGGAGGTCGGCACCAGCACCAGTGCCGGCAGAGGACCTCCACAGAGGGAAGGCGACCCCGATCTCGGTGATGGCGGTAATGTTCGGGCGGCCGGCAGATAGCCACCGACACCAACATCTAGGATCATTTTCTCCCTGTGGAGGCACCCCCCCGTCTTCGTCTGGTGCTAATTTCCAAGCCTCCAGTGGTCTTCTTCAAAGGCCACTTTGTGGTTACCTTGTTTTTTCTTGGCTCAATAGCTGCGTGCTCATGTCTCCCAGACTCGAGTACAACTGGCCTGGGCCACGGCCAGATCGAAGCATGCGCCACTGCGTAGTTCCTGACGTCCAAATGCCCTGAACGAGGAGGGTCCGCAAGGATGGCGATGCATTTGCGCCAGATCTGTTGGCAGGAGGGGCTTGGTACGTATGCAGTCGGATTGTTTCTAACATGTTGTATGTTTGGCGTTATCCTGATATCATGCCAGAGTGAAGTTGCCGATGCCAGGAATACACTCTTCGCGATACTATCCACGTTCGCAGTTTTCGTTTGCCTCCAGAACGCGGACACGGGCAAGGCATCCAGTGTGGCAACGGGCACAGGTCAAACCAGCGAAGATTGCCGCAGAGGCGAGCTTCACACCGAATCATCTTTTGTGGCCGCTGGTCGTGCAGCTGAGCCTCGCTGCGACAGGCCCCAGGCTGAACGCGTGAACGTTACGCACAGATGTCTTCGCCTCAAGGCAGCGCAGCAATTGGAGGCCGATGCGCGTGTCCTCGAGCAGGCGCAACTGGAAGGCGTGGAGCAAAGTGTTCATGCATATTCGAGGGTGATGTTCTCGTGCACCCAGAGCAATGCCTTAGACATGGCATTGAGGCTGTTCAACCACATGTTGGAGAGGGGTGTGGATTACGACTACGATGCGATACCCATGAACACCCGCAGCATGTTCTTCACGCTGGTTGTTGGGCACGTCGACGACAAGTATTTGCGGAAGAACGGATTCAAGATGCTTGAGGTGGTTCTGGCCCACGGGATCACGATGCCGCACATCCTCCAGGACCGCGTGATCTGTGCCTGGGGCTCCAAGCTTCCTGAGAATCTCTTGGAATATTTCGCGAGGATGCGGGAGGACGGCATCTCGCTCAGCTCGACGGCGCAATGCTGCATCGCGCACACGGATCGGGTTCCCCCCCCGACGACGTTGCGCTGCGGCGCGCAGAGAGAGCTAGAGAGCACACATGTACCGCACCGCGCCCGCGTATCTGCGCCCCCGCTTCCGCGCCCGCCGCCCCCCGAAGAGCCGGCGAAGACGCCCGAGACGCTGGCAGAGGCCACGCCCAGTCGTTTGCGCAGCCAGGCCTCGACGTTCGTCCCGATGCCTCCTGGCAGGCCGAGCGCGCGCCTCGACTGGTACGGCGAGCCCGCCCCAGACGAGTCGAGCGCGCAGGTCGGCTGGTGCGACAGCCCTCCAGACGAGCCGAGCACGCCCGTCTGCTGGTACGGTGCCTCCGTGGGTGAGCTTTCGTACCCTGGCCAGATGCAGACGGTGATGCAGATGCAGACGCAGATGAGAGAGCCTATCACCACGGTGCTTGTGCGTAACCTACCTGGCCGAGTCTTGCGCGACGACGTGCTAGACAAGATTGATCAGATTGGTTTCGCGGGGTGCTATGATTTTGTTTATTTTCCTGTCGATTTCTATTCTGGGAATAACCTTGGCTACGGTTTTTTGAATCTTATCAGCGAGGAAGAGATGTGGCGTTTCATGCACGCCTTTCACGGGTTCCACGACTGGCAATTTACATGTCGGACAGTCTGCACAGTCAGCTTGTCCCATACGCAGGTGGCTCCCATTCTTCCTCCTTTTCCTCATTGTGTGCCTTCCCTCTCGCCCGAAGTCGCGACGATTTCGTGCCGTGGCTTTCCGAGACGCTCGACGCCTTCCCGGGAGCCTTTTTTTCATGACAGAGCGTTTCAGAACGTATTCGGTGCCCGAACTGATTTGAGATTTCTGGCCGTCTCGTTTTGTTTTTGCGACGTCGGGATCTGAGGGTCCTCCTCCGCTGCCTCCTCCACGCAGGGCCTCGTTGCCAACATAGAGCGATTGCGGAACAGCCCCGTCGTGGGCTCAGAAAGCGCCCCGATCTGTCCATCAGAACCCGCGACCACGCCGCTGACCCCTGTGGCACTGGATCAGTCGGCACCTGAGCGGTCGCTTGGGCCCTCGATCGGCAGGGTGCTACTTGCCCGCTCCCTGGACCTCCGAGGCTGTTTGTTCTATGCCTTCGTGCGTGTGTTCTCCAAAGCTTGACCTCCCGAGGCCCGTCTCTTGGGGCCCAGGTCCCTGGCAGAACACTCTGGGAGGAGAAACCCGTCCCCAGGGGAGGGGTTGGGAGGCCTGGGGGCCGCACACTGACCATCTCTCTGGGGCTGCCAAGATGGGGGTGGTGACTAGAGGGGGTGTAGATATGCTGGCTTGGGCCGTGATATCTGCCCAGACCTCACGCCCACAAAGCTCGGGCCGTCATGTGCGACCCCCCCCCCTTCTTCCGCGCACATGCCTCGGGCCGTTCTTTGCTACCTCCCCCCCTCTTCCGCGTCCCCTGCCCCCCCCCCCCTTCTCGTCCGCTCACATGCCTCGGGTTATCGCTTGCGAACCCCCCTCTCAGGAGGCCCCCTCTTGGACGCCCCCGAGAGGTTGTCGGGAGGTCCAGGGGCCACGCGTTGGCAAGATTGTGAGGCCGGAGGCCTGCGTCGGCGACGTGGATCAGGCCGGGCGAGCCAGTGCCAGGATCAGGCCGTGGATCGGCCTGCGTCGCAGGGTCTCCTCAGGGGCAACGTTGGGGGGGCATAGGCCCAGGGGGACGCCTCGACCCCCAACAGCCCATTCATCGCCGATGGGGGCCTGCTTTCCCACCCCGCCCAGGAAGGTGTGCTATCGCGATCGGGGACCTGTCGCCGATCTATCGGCGACGTAGCGCCGATTCCAGGTCGATGTTTTCGCCCCTGAGCTGGTCCCCCCCCCTGGCTTAGCCCTTCACGTGTCGTGTGGTCGCCTCCCAGGTCATGGGCGACGAGGTGCCCGACAGGTACCGGCCCGCTATCTTCCACGGAGGAGATCGGGGCGGACGAAATGAGTTGGCGGCGGGCCCTTGGGGACAGGCAGAGAGGGCGGCGGGGGTTCTCAACAGTCTTCGCGCCTTCGAGAAGGTGTTTGAGCCTTGTCCGAAGACGCAGGCCGCCTTTCAGAAGACGCGAGGGCTTCTGAGAAGCCCCGCCGCCTTGGAGAAGGCCAGCCCTTTCTTGCTTACCCTCAGGCTCGCCGCCGAAACAGGGCCACGAGATTTTTCACTGATGCGGCGATCAAACTGTCCTTGGGCTGTGGGGGGTCCAGCGGAAGCAGTTGGAGAGCGGGGCTCGCTTCACGGGCCCCAAGGGCGTGACCGCTGCGTTGTCAACTTTCTGCGCCACGCCGCAAGCGCCGCGCGAAACACTTAAATTGCAGCTCTCGTGGTCCGCGGGCCCAACAGTGTTGCCCGTAATTAGTCGGTCTGCGAGTCGGTCTGGCTGCTGGGCGCCGGCTGAAGTGGATTTCCGCTCTTGCATTGGGGGCTGATCCTGAGGCCCGAGCGCTGCAATGTGGTGGTCTCTTAGGTGCCTTGTGTCCACCCCGAGGAGAGCGGGTCCCCTTCCCGGAGCCCACCAGGCCATTGCCCAAGCTCGGGCGCAGGAAGGTGCATTAGAGGGGCGCTCTGCCCCAGCAAGTCGCCGCTGCGAGCGCGGCCCTGGTGGTTGCTTGCAGAGGTATCTGCCGGGCCCATCGGGACTGGCAAATCACAATCACAGTGGGCTTGGCAAGCAATCGCCGCAGACTCGCAGCCTTCTTCTGCATCTGGCTTTTGCAGTTGAGATGTCAGTGGGCGTTTTTACTGGCCGCCCAAACAGGGCCAGGGTAGGTGGGGTCGGAGGGTTCGCGCCGCACCGCCGATGCATCCACGATGTGGCGCGATCTGGAGCCCGGTTTTCTCAATCCTGACGTCGCCGATGCATCTGCGATGCATCAGCGATGCGGTGTGGTGTGATCCTCCGGCCTCACCTCTGGGCGGCTTGGGGAGGCCAGCTCCAGCTCCGCCGTCCATGTGTTTTGCGTTTCTCTTTTATTCCTCGCCCACTCGGGTTGTGCTGTCTCCGTCATCGAGTTGCATTTGGAGAGTCCTCTCGGTCGAGTCTGGCTCCCATCTTTCCGACTCATCCGATCCCTCCGACTCCGGCTACGACTCGGGGTCCCATCTTTCCGACTCTTTTTCCCATCTCATCCCTCCGATTCCGGCTCCGATTCCAGGTCCCATTTTTCCGATTCCGGCTCTCCCATCTCATCTTTCCGACTCTGGCTCCGACTCCGGCTCCCATCTTTCCGACTCCGGCGCTCCAACTCCGGCTCCAATTCCGAGTCCCAACTTTCCGACTCCAGGTCCAGGTCCTACCCCATCTCTCCGATGCCGGCCCGATTCCTATTTCCATCTTTCCGACGGTGGTCCCGTCTCCGGTCAAATGTATTCGACTGTGGCAGTACGTGTGATTATTCTTCTCCGACTGCGGCTCCGGCACGCCTTCCCATCTCTCCGACCCGGCTGCCATTTCCAGACCCCGGCTTCTGAGCGGCCAGCCCTTTCTGGCGCCCTGGCGCCCTCCCGCCGCACCCTCGTAGGTCCCTCGACGCGGGCTCTTGTCTCTCTTGTCTCTTGTCTCGGTCGAATCGTCTTGACCGACGAGTTGCATCCAGAGAGTGCTGCACAGCGCCGCAGTTTCGACTCGTGTAACAGTTATCGAGGACGCCGGCGGCGCATCACCGGCCGCTCCCTGGGAGTTTGTCGAAGTGGCGCGCGGCATCGAAAGTCGTGACGCGGCGCGTATGCCAGGTATCAAATAGCCGTCGGCCCATCCCGCCACCGTGCTTGGGTTTTGGGTCGGAGTCCTCATGGACGCTTCCTGGGGTCTCGAGAGGGCTCTCGGGGGCCTCTGCGGGGGAGTTTAGGGGTCTCTTGGGGTCCATCCTGGGGGCTTTTTGGGAGCCTCTTGGGGCTCTCTTGGGGCCTCTTGGGGTTCTCTTGGGGCGTCTGAGGGGCCTCCTGGGGCCTCTTAGAGCCTCCTGGGGGCCTCTTGGGACCGAAAGCTCGAAATGTTCATTCGGGTTTCTCATCTGGGCGCCCTCGTGGGGCCGTCCTGGGCCCCTCTTGGGCCGTCCCGGGGGCCGTCTTGGCGATCTCGGGGGCTTCTTGGACCTTCTCGGAGCGTCGGTAAGCCGAAATGGCGAGAACGCGAAAACCTTTCAAAAACCATCGAAAAATCCTCTTGGGCCTTCTTGGAGGCGTTGTGGGCCGTTTGGAGGCAATCTTGGGCGTCTTGGAGCGATCTGGAGCCGTCTGGAGGCTCTCTTGGACTGTCTTGGGGCTCTCTTGGACCAGCTTGGGGCGCTCTTGGGTCGTCCTCGGGCTGTTCCGGACCTTCAAGGGTTCCAATGGGGGGGGGGTCCGGCGGCAGAGTGGAGCCCCCTCGGAGGGACTGCAGGGAGGTTTTTGATCAGGCACTAGCGAAGGGGGCCAATGATTGTGCCAAACACTTTGTCAGAGAGGTCTCGCACGGCTCAACCCGCCGGGCGGGAGCGGCTGGATCTTAAAGGCTGTCGCCTCTGCCGCCGACCCCAATGAAGGTCATGGATCTATGGGTGCTTGCGAGGGTGTGATAGTCGACGCCGGGAAGTCGGGGGGCCTTTTCGGGCTTTCTTGGGGTCATCTTGCACGTTTGGGATGCGTTTTGGGGCAGTCTTGGAGTTTATCTGTGGCCAACTTAGCTATCTTGGCGGCCATCTTGGGACCATCTGGGGCCGCCTTGGGGCGTGTTGGGTTTTTTTTGTTGTTGGACGTCTGAGGCTGTCGGACTGCCGACATGGCGAGACCCCAACGAAAGTCATCCATCCATACCTGCTATGTGCGTGTGTGATACCTGGCAGGCTCCTGCGTCCCCGTCTGCGTGTATCTTTTGGACTCTCTGTGGCCGTCTTGGAGGTCATCGTGGGCCACCTGGAAGGTATTGTTGCAGGCTTTGTGCCTTGTGTCTGCTGCGCCGTGTAGTGAGACTCTTCAAAGTTGCAGGTGTGAATGCTTCGTCGACACATTCCAATGTGTGGCACAGTAAGGTTTATCTGCCTATCGCTCTCCAACGTTCCCATTTCTCGGCTTAGGTGGGGTCCGGGGGGTTGCCCACCAGGTACCGCAGGACCCTCAAACATGGTTTTGGGGACGGGGTGAAGAAGGAGGAGGAGGAGGAGGAGGAGGAGGAAGATGAAGAGGAAGGGGATGAGGGATGAGGAGGTGGGAGGTGAGGGAAGGCGGAGAAATACGGGGATGGAGGTGATAACGGCGACGACGCCGACGAAGACGAAGACCGCGACGACGGCGGCGGCGGCGGCGATGACAACGGCACGCGTCAACCATTAACGCATTTCGGGTTTTCGTTGTGGGAGATTCGTGGAGGCATCTTGACGTGCACGGGTCGTCGGTCAAAGTCGGCTGTGCATGCCTCTGGGTCTTTTCAGTGGATGCCGCTCGAAGGCAGTTTTCAGGCTTCTGGCGGAGCAGTTTTGGGGCTTCTTGGGGCCTGTTCGGGCCTTCGGGGGGAAATTTGAGAGTCATTTGGAGGTTTCTTGGGGCCTCTTAGGGGCTTCTCGGGGCCTCCGGAGCCGTGTTGTGGCCTGCTTGGGCCGTCTTGGTCGCGTCTTGGGCCGTCTTCGTTCCCTCTTGGGTCCGCATCGGGGCTCTCCTGGGCCATCTTGGGCGCCTTTTGGGTTTGCAAGAGATTCCGCGTTGGACCTCTGGGCGATGAATTCAAGATATCCGTCGCGTAGCGCATTCTTGCTGGTCTCGTGGCGATGAGCGTGCGCGCAGGGATGGATTCGATTGTGGCTTTCTCGTGCCGGTAAGCCTGAATCCGTATGTGCGGGACGGACGTCACGGCAAGTATTGGAGTGGGATTGTAATGGGTATTGGACATGGGACCTTTCTTGCACACGTTATTCTTTAGTGTCCACTTCATTCACAGAGGCAAAGGGGACGGGGAATTGCTAGAATCCAGTGTCAATGACGATATACGTGAAGAAACATTGCAGTACCTTCAGGATTGCCAGGAGAAGTCTGGAAGACGTATCTCAGTAATTGTTGGGTTGGACGCGAACGTGACATTACCTCAAGATGTGCTTGGGACAACAGGGAGTTCAGTATTGACACCTTTGCAGTCGCACACACATGTCATGCAGCAGAGGGTGTTGGGATGGATGGAGGCTCTGGGGCTGCAAGCCTTGAGCGCATATTCTGCGACAGGGGCCGCCGATTTGGGCCCGGCAGACTTGTGGAGTTGCGGTGTGAAACGACGCCCCCAGCATAGATCTCATATTGTTTTTTGTGGCCGTTTCGCCTTGAATCAAAGGCGCGGTTCATCCCATAAACTTCTACGATTTGCGGTCGGAAGTTTCTCTCGGCAAGGGCATTGCCCACAGGCCTGTTCGTGCAGAGCTGCATTAGGGGATTCAGCTAGGGACTTCGATCTTGCATTCAGCTTTGCCCCCAGCGCTGCCCAGAAGATTCTTCTGGGACGCCGTCGCGGACATGTTCCAGGAGTGCATGGCGAACCCGGCGTGGTCGGAGCTGAACCTCAGCACCTACGAGCGCGCTCTGATAGAAATGGCGGGTACCGACTACAGCATGGACATCGCATCGGAAAGAGGAGACGCTAGGGCAGTATTCTGGAGTACTCTACGACAGATTCGGGTCCAGCTTCGTATGGCGATCCAGCCAGACCGACAGAAATCATTGAGGCGTTCTTTATGGTATGCACCGAAAGCGATGAAGCGTCGTAGACTCCCAAAGCAGATGCAATCCCTGAGGAAGAACGGGCACCAACCAACCGTTTACACTTGCGAGTTTGAAGGTGAACGGCATGGCCACTCACGACCGACAGGAGTGGCTGGATGGAGGGACGGAGTTCGGTATGAACCGCTTCGACGACCAAGACAACAATCCGGCTCTGGAGCGTGGCCGCCAATGGCAAGCTGGGCGGGCGCGGGCAGGGGGCACTGGAGTTTTGGGACACGTTGCAGGCCAGGGCAAAACTGACAGGAGGTTCTGCTCCAGGACTCGATGCTATTACCCCGGACCTGTACATGCAGTTGCCATTTCTGGCAGTGGCGACGGTCCACGATCAGCTGTCGAAGTATTCCCTCAGAGGCTCCACCAGTACAGGGTCGCTTTTTTGGAGGATATTCGAGGTCGCCGGCATGTCCAAACGCAAATATATATTCAAACCTGCTTCGATCCTAGATGGATTTGCAAATCGGCCGTGCTTCAAAAATGGTACTTGCGAGCTTTGCAGCCGAGATTGCGGGCGAAAGTCCGCCCTGCAGGCGTGCTGTCCGTATCATATTTACTTGGGACCCTCATGGAAACCTGCCACCATCGCGCGCATGTGGGGGGTGCCATTGGCCATGACATTGTAAAATATCAAAACGGCGTTCGATGATGCGCCCCATGCGCTGGTCTTTGATGCTTTGACGTCCCAAGGGGTCGATTCGCAGGACGTCTGGTTGCACGTGCGGGAGCTTTCGCACATGCAGGTTCGCCTCCAACTTCCACATGCTGGAACGACTGAATGTTTCGATTTTCACAAAAAGGTGGCAAGCAAGGAGGAATGGAAACACCAGGTGAATTCCGCACTTCGACCGATTACTTGATGGAGCCATTGATGAGTTCATGGGATGCCGCTGGATGTGGGTTTTCTTTGGATGCAAGAGGCGGGGCAAATGTGCGACGCGTATCTCACGCACTCTGGGCGAGCAGCATTTTCTTTGGGCTGCTGGTGTAGCTATGCTGCAGGGCATGGTGGACAGGCTGACGCAGTGCGTGAACAACGGAGGCCGGACATCTTCTCAGTCATGGTGTCTCTTGGAAGCTATAATCGTTGGAATGCATCCTTTGCGGGGCGCTCGAGTGGGCTTCGACAGTTGGCTTGGCAGTGCAAATTGGCACCGGCACGGTGGAGTACAGCGAACCCGCGATGCTTAATACATTGGGGCCCCGAGTCGATTGCTTCGGAAGCACGCGGAGTAGCTTGCGCTACAACGTGTCGCGCGCAGAGAAGAATTATTTCACTCAATCAACACGTGCTCCGGACAAAGTGCCACCTATGCGTGCATGGTTACGGGCATCAAGGGATATTGCCGCTGCCGCTGCCGCAGAGGCAACGGAGACATGGCGCCTGACGCCTGATATATTCCAACACTTTCGGAGTTGGGAGATGAAAGTGTTACGACGTGCCTTGCGGCTTAGGCGAAGCAACACGGAAGGACCGGCCGAATGCCACATCCGCGCAGCGAGGCAACTGGAGGTATGGATGCGCAAGCATTCTATCGCATCGTCGGTAGTCCGAGCCTTGGAGGCGGTATTCAAGGAAGCTTGGAAAGAGACATGGTTCCAGATTGGGGGCACGAGGAAGCCGACGCAGGAGTTGCCGGAGTGCGGGGGGGGGCAGCGTGGTGGGAGACGTGCCGCGTTCTAGTTCTTCCGTGCAAGAGGAATACATTTGGAGTCGCACGTCGCAGAGGATCACCACCCACCAAACCACCCCAACCCAACCCGAAGGCCTCAATTTGCCCTCCATTTCCAGTTTGGGGGGGTCGGGGAACACGGAAAAAAACACATATGTAACCCGTACCCCCCCAACCCGAAATTGGGGTCTTCGGGTTGGGTTGGGGTGGTCTGGTAGGTAGTCAGAGGAGGACAACAACCACCAGGCTGGGACCATCCATTCGTCGCAACGTGAGGCGCATGATGGCGAGATGAAAAGCGAAAGTCTTGCCGCAGCATTGCAGAATGGATGCAGAAGTTTCCAAGTTTAGCCACTAGACTATCGCAGGAATGGGCGTTGCCATGGTTATCCGTCGACTCCTGTGACAAGGCCCCCGGCCTTTGGAGCACAGTGCGATTGGAGGAGACTGTGAACTCGTTCTCTCCCCTATTCATCATCCTCGAGAGTTGCAATGGGGCCAATCTGATAAGCGGCTATGGGTGCAAACTGACAACCAGCAGGTTCAGGAACGCATCTCAGGGATATCCGTGTGTGAAGTAGCATCAGTGCGGCCGATTTGTGTTCGTACAGCCAGACATCCACATTGGCTTCTCCAGAATGGATGGCGCCCCCGCCTGGACACCGTGCCCTTCGTGGATTGTGATCCAAAGCGGTTCATTCCATATCTGACCACTGCGTCAACGTACCGTTGGACTGGGGGGCTCGACGGGGAGGACTACGACGGGCAGGCCGACGCCATGGAGGGAAGTAACATGTCATGAATCCAATTCTGCGATGGTGGAGCTGTGCGCCGGCAAGCGTACGGAGCAGCCGGAATAGCAATGTATATGTACAGTTCTTCGTGCGAATGGTCACTGTTACAAAGGGCCGGTCGTTATTTGGGATCTACGCGGAGTTTTTTCGAAGCCGAGCTCATATCCTTGGGGTGGGGCTTGGCGGTTGTGATCGCACGGGTCGGCTAGTTGGTGGGATGAGCAAGGTCGCATTTAGCATTGTACAGCGCTTAGGGTGGGTGACTGCACTTGGGCCCAACAGGAGAAGAAAAAACAACCGATGATGATGCTGCGCTGATGACGGTAGAGGAGTGGAGGAGGGAGGAGGAGGATAATGGAGCAGGGGGAGGCAGCACCCCTTGGGATTTTCGCGCCAACAGCGTCAGTGTCAGGGGCACTACGCATCGCTGGGGAAAGGGGAGGAGGGGGGAGAGGACAAGGAGGAACAGGAAGAGGAGGAGGGAACAACGGAGGAGGAAGGGGAGGAGGAGGAGAAGGAACAGGAGGAGGAGAGGGAGGAAGAGGAGGCGAAAGAGGAGGAGGAGGAGGAGGAGGAACGGGAGCATGAGGAAGAAGAGGAGCAGGAGGAAGAGGAGGAGGAGGAGAGGAAAGAGGAGCAGGAGGATGGTGATGATGATGAGGAGGAGCAGGAGAGTGGTCTGTCCCCTCGGGGGTTTCCTCCTTCATTGTTTTATCACACGCCCTCTCTATCTTTCTCGCTTTCTCTCCCTGCATCTGACTTGAGGTATATCTTTAGATTTATGTAGATGATATGTATGTATCGATGTGTATCTCTGTTGTATCGGCCGTTTGCATAGTCACCGCCTGTCTCGCGCAATAGGGCCCAAACACCCAAACACAGCTTTGCCAACGAGATTTCGGTAGGCACTCAGTCGCCGCCCCGCCGTGGCCCGCATCCTTCACGATGGAGCGGGACATATCGGACGCGCGATGCTGTGGAGCACGGCGTTCGCCCGTTGGATGCGAACAGGTCGTTGTGGACGTTTTCCACTTGCGCGTATTGTGCTTTGCAGCATACCGATGGCCCCGAATGCGGGAACTCGATGTTGCCATGTTTTGCAGGAGGATGACGAGGATATTGAGGAGGAGGTGGAGATTGAAGATGATTCTTGCCGCCCGGTCCCGATGCGGTATGGGCGTCGAAATTCCCAACCACGAAGAACAAAAAGGGGCGGAAACCTGGGCGTCCCGTGAAGAGGGCGAGGGAGAGACTGATATTGAGGAGGCGGAGGTTTCCAGGATTTTAGCTTTGCCTCGCGGGTGCCTCGAAAGGGCGCTATGTCCAGGCAGAGAGAAAAGCGGCAACCACAGACACGACGGTGACGACGAGTGGCGACGGCGAGGACAAGGACGAAAGTTGAACGAGCGGAGCGACGACGGCAGCGACGGCAGCGACGGCAGCGACGGCAGCGACGGCAGCGACGCGACGAACGACGGCGACCGGCTACCCGCAATCGCGGTGCAGCGCGCAGCGGACCGCTCTGTCTTGCATGCCGAAGCGGCGAATGTGCGCCCTCTTTCTGTGTTTTTTTAGAGGTGGAGCCTTGCTCTTGCCCTTACCTTAGGCAAGATGCCGATCACGAAGCGACAGAAGTGGCTCTCGAGTCTGCGCCTGCAGCTCACGGGTCGCCAGCCGAGTGGCAGGTCGTAACCTTGCAGGCGGATCTTTCATGCCATTAAAAGTGCTCTTGTCGTTTTCTTCCCGTCCCAGGAAGCAGGAGCAGCACCTGCAGGTACGCCAGGAGGAGCAAGAGGACGAAGCAACCAGGCAAGTGCAGTGCCCAGCTTGGGCCGCTGGCAACCCCTGTGCGACATAAGGAGGATGAGGAGGAGGAGGAAGAGGTGGAGGAGGAGGAGGAGGAGGAGCAGCAGCGGAAATGGAGGAGGAGGAGCAGGAGGAGGAGCACTTTGATATTGTCTTTTGGTGTTCATTCAGCACATCATTGACCTCAGAGCACTCCAGCCCTGATTTTGAGATGTACGTCCTGCTGCGCGCCCATCGGCCGACTTGGTTTCCGTTTTTGCGGTCCGTTTCAGTGGATGTAGATGAGGGTTTGCAAGCAGCACGTGGTGTGGCGTGAAAACTGTTAGCATGCGGGAGACTCGCGTCGTATCGACTCTTCGGAGACGCCGGCGCGGGCGTTGCAGATTGATGGCCGCGGGGAGATTCGGAAGCCACGGCAGTCGGACGCACTTTCGCGGTGCGGTGTGTGATAAAACAACGCGCTAATCGACACGACGCGACCCGCCGTACTTAACCCAGTCCAGTCTCACTCCCCCTCCCCACCACCATGCTTCGCTCTGCCCCATCCCGTCCTCCCGACCCTTGTTGCCCTTCCCCTTCGGCCCCCATGGGTGTTGGCTCGGAGGGGAACACTCAGCTGGTTCTCCAGCCTCCATTACGTGCAAACAAGCCATGGCCGATTCAAAGCACGACGTTCCACCATACATGATATCTCGACTCTTCGTTATCATGCCTCTCTCGCCCATGGCTTATGGCAGCTACGCACAACTTCGACGCGCCAGCTATGCCAACGAGCAGGCTACAGGTTAAACGCCCTCATGGGGGGCCTTTCCAGGTTAGAAAACGATCCACAGCGCGAAATCAATGTGAAAGATTGGATCGGCAGCCCCTGTGGACCTTTGCCAGCGGAGATCGTTCCAGATTGAACGGTTCACGCGTCGTCAAGGCGGGAGCTTGTCGCACACGATGCACCATCCGCCGTGAATCAATCATTATGCGATTCTTCGTGTGCCTCCAACCAGTTCTGTTTTTGGGGTTTATTGGTTGCCCTTGAATGAATTTCTTTGCCCCGTGGAGATGCCATCGGTTGCCAGCGGTTCCTGGCCAAGTGATTCGAGTTTATGTTCCCACCCAGTAGGGCTCGACCCGATAGCGCCGCATCCTTAGCATCCCACCCCACAGTGTACCATCCCTGAGGACTTCCACGCTATAATTAGAGTCACACCCAAACTAGGATCACCTCATGCGGCGCCGCCGCATAAGTTGTGCAGCATGTTCCCCAAGTAAAGTGCACCTCCGACGTGGACCGCACAACATCATGCACCGCGTAGATTCCCATTTTCAAAGAATCTTAGCCAGCGTGGGCCCCAAACAGTGCGTTTCGATAAGTATGTGATGTGCAACCTGGGTGGAGCAATCTATGTGGAGCAATCTGTGTTGGTGCAGTCTACGTGATGCAATACATGCTGTGCAATATCTGTTGTGCAATCTGTGCTTTGCGCTCTGGGCTACAGGTACGGCGGCCCTGTACTGCGGCCGCCACGAGGTCGGGGGCGGCGAGGAGGAGGAGGGCGACGACTGGTGGCTGGAGCTCCACGCGTTGCTTTCGCGCGCCACGCGCCGCGAGGACCTCCTGCTCACGCGGGCGCCGCGCGTCGAGTTCTTCCAGGCGGGGCCGCCGGGGGGCGCGCGGAAACAGCTGGAGCTGATTGCTGCGCGCGCGAAGCGATGCAGAAGGAAGGCGGCGGCTCTCGTCAGTGAGCCGGACTTCGCCAAGTTTATCCGCGAGGCTTGACCTGGGGGGCGGCCCGCCCGCGTCACGACGGTCTGACTGTTTGGCCTCGCGCCGCGGGCGACCCGCGCTGTTCGCTGGGGCCCCCTCGGGGCGACCGGCGCGCAACGCGGAAAATTCACGCCGCGCTCTGCGCGGCGCCCCCCTCGCCCCCGTCGACGTTCTGCCCGGCGGCCAGAGCCGTGTTCGCTATCAGCCAGCCAGCTAGCTCGCCCTGCTCCGCGCAGCGGGCGACCCGCACGCGTCGCTGGGACCCCTTCGTGGCGACCAGCGCGCGTCGCGGGGGCTCTGCGCGGCGCCGAGCATGCAGCTGCGGGCGCGCGCGCGGGCAACGAGGGGGAAACGTGTCGGGGAGGAAGCAGGCGTGATCCTTGCGAGGGGCGCGCTGACGCGGGCGTCGACATTATATGCGCGTAGACTCGCGCGCGCGCGCAGACCCGCCCCCTTATCGGACTCACTCTCGCTCAGACACGCCCGCCCTCAGTCTCTCGCGCGCAGACCAATCGTCCTCGTTCGCGCTGCGTGCCTCGCCGCCCGCGCGCCTCGGCGCGCCCCTCGCGCGGTTCGTGGCGCGGGCGAAGATGGAATTCGCACTTGCGGTGTTCGCAGCTGCATATGGTTGGGTCCTTCGCCAAGCTAATTGCATGGTTTCTGGGCACTCGATTTTAAACTCTTGAGGACAACTAAGGTTTTTGAAAGGTGTCGGCGCTCGCGGGTGCGCCTCGTCTTGGTCTTTGCTGGGGATTCGCGCGACAGCGCGCGCGCAGAGGGGGTTCGAACGATTTCGACATGGGCGCGCCCGAGAGGCCCATCTGGTATCATGTCATAAACATGTGGGAACGCGTCCGGTTTTCTTCCGAATTCGCAAGGGCGCGAGCGCACATTCTAAATTCGCTTGGCGAAATACCCAACCATGTGCAGTTGCGAATGCCGCGTTGTGGGTGCCGCTTTCGGTGGGGCCCCTTATTGGGCCGCGAACAGTGTGGGGGGTTTGCTGAATTTGGCGCGGTGGCGTCATGCGAACCCTTCCACTGGGGCTCTCGGTGGAGCATCCTATGGGGCCACGAAACGTGTGAGGGGTGAACCGAATTGCGTGCGGTGGTGCCTCCCACTGGAGCCTTCGGCGAAACTTGTTTATGTGGCCGCGAACAGTGCGAGGGGCGTGCCGAATACGGCGCGGTGGTGCCATGCGAACCCCACCACCGAAGCCTTCGATGGAGTTTCTTATGGGGCCGCGAACCGCGGTGTGTGTGTGTGTGTGTGCCGAATTGGGTGCCGTGGTGCCGTGCGAACCTTCCTACTGGAGCCTTCGGTGGAGCCTTCTATGAGGCCGCGAACCGCGTGAGGGGTGTGCCAGCATGTTCGCGCCGTGGGCGCATGCGGGCTCGGCCGTTGGGATTTTCGGTGGAAATCCCCATGGGGCCGCGAACCGTGTGAAGGGTGTTCCGAAATGGGCACGTGGTGGGTGGGGAGGGCGCATGGGGACGCGGCCATTGGGGCCTTCGGTGGAGCTCCCTATGGGGCCACGAACCGCGTGAGGGGTGCGCCAGAATGGACGTGCGTTGGGCGGGGAGGGCGCAGGCGGACGCGGCCATTGGGGCATTCTGTGGAGTTCCCTATGGAGCCACGGACCGTGTGAGGGGTGTTCCGGCATGGGCATGCGGTGGGCGGGGGGGGGACTTTTGTTGACGCGGCCACTGGGGCCTTCGGTGGAGCTCCTTATGGGGCCACGAGCCGTGTGAGGAGTGTTCCGAAATGGGCATGCGGTGGGCGGGGAGGGCGCATGCGGACGCGGTTATTGGGGCCTTCGGTGGAGCTCCCTATGGGGCCACGGACCGTGTGAGTGGTGTGCCGAAATTGGCATGCGTTGGGCGGGGAGGGCGCATGCGAACGTGGCCGCTGGGGCCTCCGGTTGAGCTCTATGGGGCCACGAACCGCGTGAGGGGTGTGTTTGAATGGGCATGCTGTGGGCGGGGAGGGCGCATGCGAACCCTGCCGCTGGGGCCTTCGGTGGGGTTCCCCATGGGGCCATGAACAGTGTGAGGGGTGTGCTGAAACGTGCGCGCGGTGGACGGGGGAAGGCGCGTGCGGACGCGGCCATGGGGGCCTTCGGTGGAGCTCCTGATGAGGCCACGAAGCGCGTGAGGGGTGTGCCGACATGGGCATGCGGTGGGCGGGGGGGGCACTTTTGTTGACGCGGCCACTGGGGCCTTCGGTGGAGCTCCCTATGGGGCCACGAGCCGTGTGAGGAGTGTTCCGAAATGGGCATGCGGTGGGCGGGGAGGGCGCATGCGGGCGTGGCCATTGGAGCCTTCGGTGGAGCTCCCTATGTGGCCACGACCCGTGAGAGGGTTGTGCCGACATGGGCATGCGGTGGGCGGGGAGGGCGCATGCGGACGCGGCCACTGGAGCAATCGGTGAAGCCTTCCCTATGGGGCCACGAAACGTGTGAGGGGTGAGCCGGAATGGGTGAAGATGATAGTGACAATAACGGTGACGATGATGGCGATGATGATAGCGATGATCATGATGATGCTGATGTCGATGCTGCTGATGATGATGATGATGACGATGACGATGCTGATGGGCATTCTGATGATGATGATGACGATGCTGATGGTGATTTTGATGATGATGGTGGTGATGATGATGATGATGATGATAATGATGACGATGATGATGATGATGATGATGATAAAGATGATGATGATGATGATGATGATGATGATGATGATGATGATGGTGATGATGATGATGATGATGATGATGATGATGATGATGATGATGATGATGATGATGATGATGATGATGAGAGGTGCAGCGGGAGGAGGAGGAGGAGTGAACGCGGTGACCGTCTCTTCAAATCGAGGACCCAACACCACAGGATAGTTGGGAAATAGACAAGAGTCCGTGTTTCAGATCCATGTTTTTTATATCTGTTTTCGGGACGCTCGATTTTGAAATCTATGCGAAACGCACCTTTTTTGAAGGATTTCGG